GTGCTTTCAAGTAAGAATGATGTTCCATGAAGAAAAAGCGGCTATTTCTGCTTGACACACATACCATCACACAAGTGCTTTTCCTTGACGTGGGCACTGTACTTCAGTATGTAACAGATGTGCTTTTTAAAGACTTCCCATTTTGTCACACAAAGTGTTAAAAATATGTATGTTCAAGGGTTGAGCTTTAATTATATTAATAATTTGTACTGTTTCATCAAGGACATTCATAAGCACAATTTCTTTTTTAATTGTGAGTGCATCAGAATAACATGACTACTGGTCCAGTTTGGCGCCGCTGCCTTGGTTCGTGAAGGCACCAGAAATTTCACCCACCATTACTTTTGTAGCATCAGTGCAAACTGTAACACCATCATAGCAAACAGCAAATCATGGCTTAGTAACATTATGAAAAGCATTTGACTTTGTGGGCATCCTGAAAGGGTCCTGGAGACCCCCAGTGGCCCACAGACTACATTTTGAGAACCACTGTATTAGATGCAGCGGGGGATTCATAGATAAGTCAGATCCAGTTCTTGACATCAAATTATTCATCGTCTATTGGTGGAGCTTGAAATGCTGGCAACTGAAATCCAAGTCCGAACGGGACAAATACTAAAAGATGTTAATTTTTTTATTGTGGGAGAACGTGCATAACATAAAATTGACCGTTTTAACCATTTAAATTGTACAGTTTAGTGGCATAAGTATATTCCCGGTGTTGTGCAACCATCACCACCATCCATCCACAGAAATTTTTCATTTTCCTAAGCTGAAACTCTGTCTCCATTAAACAATAACTCCTTATTTCTTCCACCCCCAGGCCCTGGTAACCACCATTCTACTTTCTGTCTCTCTGAATTTGATGATTCTAAGTACCTCATATAAGTAGAATCATATAATAAATGGCCTTTTGTAACTGACTTATTTCACTTAGCACTGTTTTCAAGGGTCACCCATGTTGTAGCGTGAGTCAGAATTTCCTTCCTTTTTAGGGCTGAATAATAGTCCAGTGTATGGCTATACCGCCTTTTGTTTGTTTATCCATTCATCCATCCACAGACACCTAGCTTGCTTCCACCTTTTGGCTGTTGTGAATTAAGATTTTTTTTCAGCTCTTTCCCAGACTTCATTTAAAAAAAAATTTTTTTTGAAGCATAGTTGATTTACAATGTGTCTTAGTTTCAGCTGTACAGCAAAGTGATTCAGTTATATATACATATATATATTCTTTTTTGATTATTTTCTATTAGAGTATTACAAGATATTGAGTATAGTTCCCTGTGCTATACAGTAGGTCCTTATTGTTTATCTGTTTTATATATAGTAGTGTGTACCTGCTAACCCCAAACTCCTCATTTACTCCTCCCCTCCCCTTTCCCCTTTGGTAACCATAGATTTGCTTTCTATGTCTGTGAGTCTATTTCTGATTTGTAAGTAAGTTCAATTGTATCATTTTATAAGATTCCACATATAAGAGATATCATATTATATGAATTAAGATGTTAATTTCTGCAAAGCCTGGCCTTGCTCTCTTGGCATTTCCTGATCATCTTTCTTTCCTTGGTAATAAGACACCGGGTTCCTCCAGGTAGGGCCTTCTTCTAGTACAGCCTACCCCACTCAGTCCACGTGGCCCACATTGGTCAAGAACACCAGCGTGATCTTTCTAAAACATGCTGCTTAGGCCTCCCCCATCCCATTCCCACCCCCACCCACACTGTCTTTTCCTCCTTCAGTTTGCATCCTCTCTACCCCAGACGAGATGTTCAGCAACAGCTGCTCTCATTCATTTCATCTCGACAAGTCTTTATTGATGACGCATTATTTGCTCATCAAACAGATCTGCCTTTTCAAACACTTACAGTCCTGGGCTTGGCTGCACGTTTGCCTGTTAAATCTGTATTTGCACACGTTGGAGTTGTCAGCTCCGCTCAATAGAGACAAAAAGCTCTGTGCGTTGGATGTAGGTGTCTGGGGGAGGGTTTCTGAAGCACAGGGATTTCGTTAGACTAGCGGTGTGCCACCTTACCTACCCAAGCCTCTCTAAACCATATTTATAAATCATTTAGATATTTTATTACTAGATTTACCGTTTCACCTGGCATTTGCTGCAGCAGCCAATAATACATCAAGTGCTAAATGAGAAATGGGTGAATTGGAGCTTCAGTGAGGAGAGACCTATGTTATGTGAAACACACAGGAAAAGAAATCCCATTGCCTTCTGTCCTCCTTGTATTTCTCACCAAGGTTCCAGGAAAGAAGCTTACAACTGGCGCTCACCTTTTGTTTTTGAGACGGCCCTAACTCCATGTCACCTGTCACTTTCTGCTCTATGTGCTTGAACTTCTGGTTGGAAAAGCCACTCCTATTTTCACAATAGAAAACAAGCTTTTGAGACTCCCTGATCATGGTGAAAATGAAGTGTCTGCCTCATGTTTCACTGTTTATAAAGCCCTTCCAAGTACTTTATTTCACGTCATTTTCCAATAGACCTGACGTTCATGATGGGCTCTATGTGAAGTGCTCAGTACGGTGCCTGGCATCCAGGAGAGATTCTCTGAGTGGAGTGGATGGTAATCAAGGAGGTGTTATCCTCATCCTTGTTTACAGATGGGAGGCTCAGAGAGGTTAAGCCAATTAACTAAGGCCACACAGCCTATAAAGAGTTGCTTCCTACGATCTCAACTCATCTCTGGGGGGACCACTGTGGAGTTCTTTTCTCTGTAAACAATTGATACATAATCATGCCTTCCCCCAGACCTGCCCAGATACCAAAATAATCTGATGAACTGCTTTTCTGCTCCTGTTTTAAGAGGAACTTAATACCAATAAGGGGCCAAGGGAGGAAGAGGGAGAGGATTGGAAAGCAAAAATGAATCGAGCATTTTCTAGGTGTCATATAATACGTAGTTAATGCTTAGAACTAACTACCGGGGGATATTATCTCACTGTTCTGTAAACAAAGAAAATAGACTCAGAAAGTTTAGAAAACTTGCTCAGTATCTCACAGCTGATGAGAGAAGGAGCTGGGATTCCAAGCCAGATGTGTTTAGAATTCATGTCTGTCTTAGCATGAAACTAACCATGGGCTTGGGCTACTGCAAAGCAGGGTCAGGAAAGGGCTGGCTCCTTAAGGACCATCTGGTCTGATGGCCTCAGCCTGGACTTCATGGCTGTGGAGGACTCCGGGAACCTTCATACATTTTATGAAATGATGTGTCTATGGGAGTGTGGCCAAGGGTCTGTTCTTGGGGGTGGGTTCAGATTAACAAAGAGAAACCGCAATAAGCTTGTGACTCACCGATCTATTCCAGCTCCAGTTCGTAAGTGGGGAAATGGATACCAAGGCAGGCAAAAAGGGTTCCCAAGCTTCATGTGAGTGGTGGAGCTGGAAGCCTTCTCCAGTCTCCGGACTCCCAGTTTACCCTAAATCTTGTCCCCCACATTAGCCTGAACTGTCCGTCCAGTGCTGGTAAAGCACGGAGCTCAACGATCAGCATATTAAGTGTTACCTGTTTGGATCTGGACCGGCCAGGCTGTCCTTGGCAGACCTGTGCTCTAGTGGTCTCAGAAAGCATGGAGGTGAGCAGACCTTGCCTGAGAAGGGAGGAACAAAATGTCAGTTGACGTTTTATCAAAGCTCAAAGAGGTTTCAATTTGAAGTGTGAGAAAGGGTCGGAGCTTGGTTTTGTTTGAAAGGGCAGCTTCTGAGCCTCCATATCTCCAAGGTTTATAATTTCACCTTGTTTTGCCTCCCACCCCGGCCATGCTAGTCATTATAGCAAAAAGAGCACTTGATGGAAGAAAGACAGGTCTGTCCCTGCAAGAACAATTTCTCTGTTGTCTGTAGAATGCCACCCAATATGATAAGTGAAATGTCGATACTTCAGACTCCACTGGTCAGGATATTTGTTCACTTTCTTCAGTTATCATCAAATTCAGCCAGCTGGCCAAGGAGCAGGTTTTAACTTCTTTGACAAGTAAAGACCCACTGTGAGGTGGTAACGTATCTTCCAACGTCATCTTTTGTGCAGCTCTTTGGATTTCTTCAAGCTTGTGCTGGTGCTGGGCTGTGGACCTGGGAGGAGGACAGCGCAAGGGGCTCAGGGCCAGATAAATCCCAGACCCTCTGAGTTCTGATTCAATGCCTCATCAAACTGGTTCTCAACCACTAAATCAGTTTACAGCAGTGGTTTTACCTCCCAGGGACAATATTGCTGTATTTGGAGACACGTGTCACAACCAGGGGGCTGCAATTGGCATCTGGTGGCTAGAGGCCAGGGATGCTGATAAACATCCTACAGTGCCCAGGACAGTGCCCATAACAGAGAGCGATCCAGCCTAAAATATCAGTAGTGCTGAGGCTGAGAGACCCAGGGTAGAGGCTTAGGCTGCGTTAGGAGACCGAGGTGACCCACCATTCACTGGATCTCTGCCACATTGGCTCCCAACAAGATGCCTACAGCAAAGAAGTACCCAGTCCCAAATGTCCATCGTGTCGAGGTTGAGAAAACCCGATTAGAGTGCTGGGGTTCCAAGCAACAGAAACCGCCCCAGCCAACCTAAATATAAAAGGGAACTTACTGGAAGGGGAGGGGTTAGTAGACAGAATAGAGGGAAATGGTGATGTACCAGATCTTGCAAAGAGTAGGGATGAGGCCGCTCCAGTGTGGAGCCAGAAGGGACTTTAGGCCAGTCTCCTCCAAGTGCCACTGAAGGCTCACCAGTTCTTGCCCTTTCATCACTAGCAAGGGGATGTAGATGCCTGGGAGAGAGAGTCTGATTGGCTGCCCTGGGGCTGGGCCCACGCTGGCCAGAGGTCAGGTGCTTCCAGACCCGCATGTGAGGGGCAGGGGGCCAGCCTCAGAGAGGAAAACAGAGGCGCTCTGAGCAGAAGGGGGCTGTGCACTGGGTGGGCAGAGCCAACATGTGTCCTCCCACAATCATTACGTGCTGTTAACGGCAGATTCAGAAATGCCTTGCACTCTGTCTCACAGGGCTCCACGTGGAAGAGCCAGGCTGGCGGACATTGTCACCGACCACTTGAGGAATAGAAGCAAAGACCTCGAAATCTGCAAAACGCAGCGAAATTGATCTCGAAAAGAATATCCCGGTATCTGGTAAGGTGGACTTCCGTTTCCTATTTTTCAACAACACCGTGCTTTTCGTTTCATGTATTGATCTGACCGATGTTTACTGGGTTCCTAGTGTGTCCAGGCGTTAGGCCAGGGTCCCGAGTATAATCAGGTGTGGACCTCACCTGGGAAGAGCTTACAGTCTAACGATGGTGAGAGAGAGGAAGAAGCAGGCAGCCGGGGGGGGTGCAGAAATGGGACAGAGATAAAAGATATCAAAGGGGGTGTAAGGGGAAAGAGAAGTTGGTCATGGAATATCGGAATTCCACTTGGATTGTGTTGCTTCTTCTGTGGACCTGCTCCCCCATCAGCAAAGGAGGAGGACGGGTCAGGAACACACAGGAAGGAAGTGTTGCCACTTGCCAAAGGTGCGTTGGTGTCCCCAGAGCAGCGTTCTGGGGCGGATGCTGTGCCGCTGTTCACCATGTGTGTTTGTTAGCGCGGGAATGTTGCTTCCCCAGGGACCCTTGTCAAGCCCGCACGAGGCCACTGCGGTGTTGGCATGGAAGGCCCTGCATCTGTTCCTTTTACTTGTTCTGTTAAAGAGAAAGGCCCACTGAGGGTGTGCCGGGGGATCCAAAGCGCTGGTCATAGGGCAATTACTTATTACGAGCCTTGAATACATTCCTGATTGTATAAGGTTTCATTGTGTTTTTACGCGGAGGGCAGACTTGGGGAGTCAATTTGGCAGCCGAGACAGGGAGGAGAAAAGAGCTTTCAGGGATCATTCTGGATGTTAAAAGTTCACTTCGAGGCAGAGGTTCAGGGATATAGTGCAATTCTGGGGACTCTTCCAGAAACCTCTCGAATCCGCGTTAGTGCTTAACCCTCTGTGGGAAGTCATAAAGAAAGATATTTCCCCCTTTCTCCTAACAATAATGTGACTTCCCCTCTAAGTAGCTCAACTGCTGGGCTCTAGGGTACCTGAGGGTAAAGGAGAATCAGCTTCCCAAATGCGGAGCTGTTCCTCCAGCATCAAGGCCAAGGCCGTCTGCAGCCCGTGGGTCCTGGGATGAGCTGGAGGAAGGGGGCCAAGGGCTGGCTGGGGGAGACGATGCCGCTCGGGGCGAAGTCTCACGTTCTCCATCTGTGACAAGCAGGGGTCTGACCAGACTAGCACTGAGAGCCTTGGTCCTCCCAGCTTGGAAACACTGTGATTCCTTGATCTCATGGACCAAACTGCCATGACCTTCCTAAAACATTGCTGAGGGTGACAGAATGGTTCATTCTTGGGTTGTGTTTAAGTAACATCAGGGACTCAACTCAGAGAAGAGCCTCTCGTTCCCGATGCACAAGCTCACGTGTGTGCCACAAACTTGAATTCCATCCAGGTCTGCCCCGGTCATGAAGCCTCTAATCACCACCACTAGCTCCTCCTCCGTTACCCTATTTATTGAGTGCAAACGGCGTGGCAGGCAATAGGTGAAGTACCTTAAAGACATGTTCTCAGTTAATCCCCACAAAAATCTTATTATCACCTGCACGTTATGGAGGAAAGTTCTAGGCCTCAGAGAGGTTTTGCAACTCATCTAGGGTCATACCCGTAATAAGCAAGTAATAGAGAGAAACCTCAGATTCAGGTTAGAGCAATGCAAATGCCATCTCTTAACATGCCCCTACGCGGGTTCACCTTCGCTACCATTTCTCAGGACACTCCGCACACTGGGTACTGCTGGTGGCCATGTCGTCCTTTGGGCCGGCTACTTGGCCCAGTGGAAAGAACATGGGCATCTCAGAATCTTCCTCTAGCTCGGGGGTTACTTTAGCTCTGGGATTGTTTAGCTCTGGGATTACCTTATTGTGGCCTTGGGAAAATTATGCTCTACTTCAGTTTTCTGTACTGAAAAATAGAAAAATACTTACCTTGCAGGATTTCTATGATGCTCGATGACCTATTACATGTGGAAGTTCTTGATAAACAAGAGTTAAAATATTGTTATTTTTACTATGTCCTATCTCCAGTGCCTCTAAGCAGGGTCACAAGCTCCTCGGGGTCAGGCTCTGTGTGTATACCTCATTATTCTCATAAAGTTTCTAGCCAGGGCTAAAAATATAACTGGCTCTCAGAAGGAAGTGATTGACCTAATACAAAAATCTTGTTCATGAATGTGCTTGCTCTATAGTATTTCCAAATTGCCCTCCACAGGGCCTGAGCCATTCTGCATCCCAACAGCGGGAGTGGGTAAACACAACCATTTCTGCAACTTTCACCAATACAGTGTGTTAGCCAACATTTGGATTTTTGCCAATCTGAGAGCTAAAAATTAGTATCTCAACATAATTTAAATTTGCACTTATGAATTAGGCTAAGCATAGTCTTCTATGTTTAACAGCCATTTGTATATCTTTCTATGTAAATGGTTATAGATGGTATTGAGCTGGTGGTCTTTTTCTTCATTGATATGTAGGGTATATATTTGGGAGATCAAGGCAATATAATTTGCAAAACTTTTTTCCCCAGTGTGTCATGTGTTTTAAACTTTGCTTATGATGCAATTCATTTTAAAAACAAAAGCAAAGAGGAGCTAGGTCATAAGGCCTGTAGACATTTAGAAGAGTCCACGTGAGCTGGAAATGTACTTCCCTCCCTGTGGATCCCCAGGAGTGTACGTTTGTGTGCCAAGGGAAATACAGAGATGCAGGATCAACAAGGTGGAAACTTAAATATATATATATATATATACATGTGTATACTAAGTAACCTACACCATTACTTGATAGTAAAACAAATGTGGATATGAAATGGCATAGACATCACCATTTGTATGAATTTTTAAAGTAAAGCATTGGAAAGTCAAAGAAATGTCACACCTGCGTTTGGCTGCTTTGGGGTCTGCCTCCAGATACCCCATGGGGGTCTCTTTAATGGGAAAGCTTGAGAAGCACTGCTCTCATGGAAGCTGGCAAACCCGTTCTTGTCTCAGGTCTGCCACTGGTTAACTGTGTGACCTGGCTGCATTCCACTGGCTGCCATAAACTTCAGATCCGCCAGAATATGAGCTCTCGTTGGGCAAGGTTACTATTTACTGATGAATTGTCAGTGCCTAGGACAAATACCTGGGACGTAGTAGGGGCTCCTAAACGGGTATTGAATATAATAGAACAACATGCTCAAAATTCACCCTATTCATCACTCTCCCCAAAGATACAGCTGTCAGTTCTGTTCACGTCTAAGTTACCGGCCTACTGCATGTGCGATTCTGGGATATAAAGATGCCCGAAGGAGCCCCCCTCCCCTCCCCCCGTCGAGCAGGGCCAGAAACGTGTGCTCTGATGGGATGATCCTGAAGGATCGTTCTGGCTCCGTGCCCCTCCTCACGTGGTTCTTGCCTGGGTCTTGTAGAACATCAAGGTCAAGAATAAACACTTAGTCACGGGTCTCTAGAGGTCACCTTATGCACTCCTCTGCCACCTCAAAACACTACCCCCATTTTGGGGGGGACCCTTGGGTGGTCCAGGCCCCATGAGACTGTCAGCACAGGTGGTCCTTCCATGTCATGGTGGTCCCAGGCCCATCTCACACGGCCTGTTCTAAAGAAACATGATCTGGGCTGTTTATGGGGTGTGGGCTCTGATATGTGGGTGGCAGACTGCTGGGCCACGGGCAGGCAGTAAAGTCTTATACATAGGCCTGTTTTCCGGCTACAGCTGCCACATCAAAAGAGCAAACTCCCTACACACTTTGCCTTAATTAAAAAAGTTATAGTAACCCTCAAGATGGAGGCAGGTCAGACACCCCTGGAGACAAAAGTTCTCTCTGTGGCCACAGACCAGGCCTTTCCTTCCACCCCAGGCACCATTAAAAGTGGGGCGATTCTGTAGGCTGTAGGCGTCACAGGCTGGGGTAAAATAGGAACGGAAATGCGGTCTCTCTTCATACTCATAATTTGCTTCAGAGGGATCTAGGGCCAAACATTTGAAAAAGGGCCCTGGCTTCTTGGACAGATTTCTGTTTTTCACACGTTCCCATATTCTTTGGGGTCTTTCCCAGCTGTGCTTTCAAATGCCTCAAGCCCACGGGGGCACATGTTAGAGAACCATGGGGTGTAGCTCTATCCCCCATCTATAGCCAAGGTGGTAGTTAATAGCTTTGTTCTCTGATGGGAAAACTGAGTCCTGGCAATGGGAAGGGGGGTTGTCTGCAGGACCCAGGCCGGCACCAGAGCCTGAGGACAGCACCTTGTCTAAGATCCCAGCCAGATCAGCCCACAGTTATCAGTCACAGAGACGGCAGTGCTCCCTGGAGCGGCCATCTGCTCCCCGACATTTCCTGGACCCCTTGTAAGTGGCAAGGTCATGTGACTTGCCAAGGAAAAGTCCACTGGAGGGAAAGGTGCCCCTTGCTGGCTGCAGCAGGGAAAGGCCCGTGCAGGACTCCCCAGGCTCTCCCCCATGGCCACGACTGGGAACAGTGGCCCACAGAGTGAAAACTCCCTGCGTGTGGGTCTTGCATAGGTCCCCCCACCTCTGCACCACACACACACATCATAGACTCACAGTGCGGGATAGAAATACATTTTTGCTGTGTTAAGCCCCAAAGATTTTTTTTCTGCAGCATAATACAGCCTAACCTAACCTAAACAGTACACTACATTCGCCCAGTGAGCCCACGATATTTACGGATTCATTTATTCTTTAGCGCCCCCAAGACCACCATGGAGAAAAGTTACGTGAAAACAGATTTCAGCTCAAACATAAGAAAATACTTTTTCCCCACATAGGTACTCAGTTCTGACTATCAGAGGGCAAGTCCCCACTCCCCTGCTATGCCAAGTATCAGTTTATTTCCTCTCAGCACCAAAGGGAGCTAGACTCTTTTTTTAAATAGTTGAATATTTTAAAAATTATTATTTTAAATTGTGATAAAATACACATAATTTAAAATTTACCAACTTAAGCATTTTTAAATGTTGCGTAACCATTACCACCATCCACCTCCAGAACTCCTTTTATCTTGCGAAACTGAAAGTCTAAGATAATACTTTTTAACGGAGACATCTGAAGATGAACTGGGCTGTTTCAGGACGTGGTGCGAAGTCTGCTTTTGCACAGATTTGTAGCTGAGGCTGGATGGTTTTTGGCAGGAGGATGGTGGAGCAGAAACCAACGGAGTGGAGTGGAGATCCACCTCCTGTATTCAGGGACCCCTCTCTCCGCATTGCACTTTCGTGTAAATTACAAAGAAGCTCTCTCTGGGGGTGAACCATCCACAAGTTCTCTGGGTGGATGAAATTTTTTAAAAGAACCCTGTATGAATGACCAGCAGGTTTAAAAAGCGAGGCAGGCTGTCAGCTCCACGTGCCCCCCGGCTGGGCACCTTTGGGCAGGGTAGAAACCATGCAACTGTGTGTAGCATCCCCATGTGCTGAGCCTTCTCGCAGACCTTTCCACGTGCCATCTCTTACTTACTGCAGTAATCCAGTGGGCTGGTTATTATCCCTACTTGACAAAATGAGGAAACCAAGGCTCAGAAAATTTCAGTAAATTGCCTTAAAGTCACAGCTAGTAAACAGCAGAGTTGTGGTTCAAATCCAGTCTGTCCACTTCCAAGTCCAGTGCTCTTTCTACTGCCTCCAGCTGTCCCCACTTGACCCAGGAGTCTATGATGGAGGTCATACCATGAACAGAGCCAGGACTCAAGCCAACAGTACTGGGTTACTGGGGTGAGGCATCCTGCTTTCACAATCCCAACAAGAAAAGTGAAATTTTCACATGTGTGATAAAAAGGGACTATTTACAATGCTCTGAGTCTTACCTGAATGGAAATATTTAAGGTAGTGTCACAACAAAATGGATTATTTCATCTACAAAGACATTCATAGGGGTTGAAGGGTGCTGTGAAATACTTGCCTCTATAACCAACCAACATTCTCCCATTTCAGTCCCCAGCTCTGTCTGAGGACCTGGGCTCCGAATACCAAGCACAACGTACTCAGTTTTCTCAAATACCACTAGTTAGAGAAAAAAGCAAAAGAAAGACAGAACGATTTCCTTTCTCATCTCCTGTGCAGGTGATTGGATTGCAGGGCTAGACGGAGGGAGAGTGATTTTGTTTCTCGGATAATGGAATTAAATGGGTGCCTCTCGATTTATTCCTAAAAACACAGAGAAGTGGCGTTTATGTTCCTGAAACATGAAATCAGTAGAAACACAACTGGGGGAAGAAAGGGAAATTAGAAAGAAAATCACCAATCATTTGATTATATGACAACTAGTGAACGTTCACGTAATTCATTGTCCTCTGCAAATCTGTAGGAAGGATGACTGCTTTTTTTAAAAAAAAATTGCTGGCTTCAGCATATTTTTGTGAGAATGGGCAGCTGGAAAGGAAAGTGTTCTGGAACAGACGATGGCCCACACATCAGAGTTCCCCAAGCACTTTCATCTGTGTTACCTTTGTCATGTGTTCTGGCTGGTGCCAGGCTCTCGGGCTCCCTCTCTCCCTCCCCACTCCTGCTTCATGTACTTGGGACACCACACCGCGCTTGTCTCGTACCCTAGCTCTGCCCTGCACGCACGCAGCCAGATGCATACGTGCGAATCCACCTTCCTGTTCCTCCTCCTTCTCCTTTCAGGCTGCCTTCAGCTCTGGTGCCGCCACCTCCTGACACACTCCCTGAGGGCTCCTGCCTTGGCTGGCTGTCCGTCTTCCCTGTTCTCTGGTGTCCTCTGGACCTCTAGTCAATGCCCCCACTGTCTCCTTGCAGAAGGTCTGGTGACAGACCTTCTCCTGTCAAGGCTGAGAGGCCCTTGGAGCACAGGGAAGTGTCCCCCTGGCCCAGGCAGATGCCGGACCTCGCACAGAGCAGGGCGCAGAGTCTGCACCCAAGAAATACTGGGTGAACAGATCCCAAGAGGGTGGTGTCATTGTCCCTAAGCACACAGACAAAGAAATGGAGGGTGACGGAGGCCAGGCGAGGTGTCCTGTGTCCCCAGTGAGTTAGAGATGGTGCCTGGGCCAAAGCCCAAGGTGGGCGACTCCTGGCATTCCACTTGCTGTGGTCCTGCGTTTGAGGCCACAGCTCTTGCAGCTCCGACTTCCTCTCTGAGAAGCAGAGTTGTCTTGCGGTGAAGAAGCCACGTGGCGTGGCGGCTCCACGGCGTGTTCTCTGCATCTAGGGCAAGTATGGGGGAGGCGGCACAAGGATCCACCTCTGATCGACGTCACACGAGCGGATTAACCCGGGCCAGGTTGCGACCCCAAATTGAAGGAGTGAAGTTGTGTCAGCTGCTTTAATTTATGTGTGCATTTACGGTCTCAATTATACGGGCACTTGCTGTCTCCATTTAAAAGATAAGGTTGAAAGGGGAGACGAAATTATGAGAAGAGATAAAATAAAAGCAAATCGAAGATACTATTCAAAAAGGAACTGGATGAAATAGCAAGGGCTGTCTGTGGTGGTAAAAGGAACACATGAGAGTGAAAGACATCCCTCTAATTATAGCTGCCGTAGGCTGCAAGCGAATATTCAAGTCAGCAGACGAGCAACCTTCCTTCCCTCCTGGGCGTTTTTACCTAAGGCCGTTCAGTTAATGCGTTTCTCCCGAATGCCTACTATGTGCGTGTCCCTGAGGATATAAATGCTCTTGCAGACCCAGAAAAATGACAATAACGTATGATTAAAAAAAAAAAAAACAGGACAATCTTCAATGCGTGGTAGGAGCCCCGAAGAGGGAGTGATTATCTACCTAGAGGAACTGGGGGTGGAGCAAAAGAGACACCTGAGTAAGCCTGATGGGTGAGGGTGACAGGTGGAGAGACGGAGGAGTCTCCAGCAGAAGCAGCCACAGAAAGTCTGGGAGGAGGGTCTGGAAACGCGGTGAGGGTGTTTAGTCCTGGTTATTGAACGCTTAGTAAATACTAGGCCCTGGGCTAATTGCACTACCCCTGTTAACTGATCTGTTCATCACAGCATTTTGAGGTAGGTACCATTATTACCTCCACGTCAGGGGTGGAAATACTATCACTGAGGTTATGTAACTTGACCAAGATCATAGGTTGGTGTGGACTCAGACCCAGGTGTCTTCGCTCTCTGGAGAGAGAATGTTAGGCTCGCTCTTGAAATTGCAGTCACAGTGTCAGCCGAGGCTGCAGTCATTTAAAAGCTGGACTGGGCTCACTCAGGTGGCTTTTGTTGGCAGGCTCTGTTCCTCCTGATGTCGGCTCTCTACAGGACTGCTTGTGATGTGGCTGCTTCCCCCAGAACAAGTGATCCAAGACAGAGAGAGACGCCAAGTGTCTTTTATAGCCTACTTTGGAAGTGACATGCCTTCACTTCCATTGCATGCAACTGGTCACATAGACCAACGCTGGTACAGTGTGGAGGGGACGACACACAGGTGTGAATACATGAAACGGGGATCAGAGAGGCTATCTCAGAGGCTGCCTACCCCGCATGACCTCCTAAATTATTGGGAATTTTTGTTCCAGCAAGAAATGGGTAAGGGGGATGGGAATCTGATGTGTACGTTCCTTTAGTGGGAACTTCAGGGCAGAATTTATTATAAATGCACGTAGAGAAGCCCAGTTTGACCCCCACTAAGAGGATGAGCTAGTCATCCCTTCCAAAAGGCACGCACTGCAGAATGGCCCTTTCCTCTCTCCCAGTGCTCCCTGGCTCCGCACCCGTATGTTGAAAGGTCTCTGCACACAGTAGGTACTCTCTGCCATGCTGGTGGAGTTGCACTGGCTGCAGCTGCAGCTCTGGGGACCCTGAGCTGTGCCGTTGTGTTCAGAACTCCTTCGCCCCCATGTGCCCACTTCCTCAGGCCGGCTCATATTCCATCCCCTCTGAAATCGTCACCCACACTTCCCAATCGGACTTCTCGCAGACCTGCAGCAATCCAGGCAGGCTCTGAAAGGCTTGGCTTCTCTTTCTGAGGATCTTATCAGCACACGAAAATAAACAGAGCTCGAGGGGTCCTTGATGTCTTAGGATTGCATTTTAATGACTGCTTCTTTCCGAGAAAACGAGCTGGCCCCATTTCCTGGTCAACATCCACACTCATATGAGCATAGCTGGACCTGGGGTCTTGGGACCCAGAGCATTCCAAAGTGTGACTGACCAGTTTGCAATTAGCACTTCATTAGAGGGACACCCTTTGTCCACAGAACCAAGACTGGCTCCCAGGGACCAGCATCTCCCATCAACTCCCAGAGTGGTCTTTCTAGAACCTGCCTCTGAGCACACCACTCCTTGTTCAAAACTCTCCTTACACCTCCCTGCCTGGGGTATCCAGCTCCTCAGCGTGGCTCACAAGGACCGTCACAGTCAGCCTCTGCCTGCTCCCCTGCCTCCGCTACCCGCCGCCCCTCCCGTCTCCTCCAGCCCTGCTCCCTTCAATTTCTACCGCAGTCAGATCCAACTGTTTGCCGTCGGGTGAATGATCGATGCCGTCTTTCACTTCATCTCTGCCTTGAATGCCCTTCCCGTCCTGAATAACATCCATGCCCGCTTCAGAATTAATCTTCACCCTCCCATCATCTGGGAAGCCTTCCATTAACCACCCCCAAGTTGAATTACATTCTCCTTTCTGTCCTCCCGTGGGAGCAAGGTGGTGGTGCTGTGTCTTGACTCTCGGCGGCTTCCTGGATATTCTAGGCAGTGTCCCCACCTTTGATGAGACCCTCTCACCCCCTCAGCCATTCAGGAGAGCTGGCTTGTGAAACAAGTCATGTGGAATGTCACCATGGGAGGGAGGAGAGGCCTGCCCAGCATGGCCCTCAGCAGCTCAGGCAAGCGCAGTGTGCCCTCATGTCCTGCATCCCTGTGGTCCCTAGGGCTCTGGGAGCACATGGCGATAGCTTCCGAAATCCTTGCTAAAAAGCAGAGGTGGTCCAGCCAGCATAGCCATGGTGCCTTGATATCTGAGAAGACCCTGCCCTTGTGTCAGGGCAGGACTCCTGGGTTTAGCTGACACTTGGCTTCATTCGTTAAGGCTCTTTGCTGCCCACACTTCACAGCCTACGTTCGTGCCTCTGGACAGCTTGATGAGAGAGTGCAAGGAACAGCAAGGACTTTGAGTAGATGTGGCATCAAATCCCAACATTACAACAAGCCCTGTGGTCTTCAGCCAGTGACATAAACTCACAGGGCATCAGTGTCCTAACTGGCCAAGCAGAGGCAACATTCCCCATGGGCTGGCATGATAACATAAATGAGAGACTTAATGCAGCCTTAATTCTGCCCCGCCTCCCTTTCTTCCTCGATTCAAAATGTACCAAATGCCAACTGTATGCTGGGCTCCATGAGGGAGAAAACAGGAAGAAAACAGAGCCTGCTCTCGAAAGCTCCCAGTCTAGTATAAGAAGTGACACTTGGACATGCAAACTTACGATACAAAGTGGTAAATGACCAGTCCTGCAGAGGGGCGCCACTGGGACTTTGGGAGAGTTTTCTGAGGGCGAGCTCCTGGAAAGCTTCTAGTCTGGGGGATTTGAAGCTGGAAGGCATGGTGTGGACTTGGAGTAGCATGAATCCTGCAGAGTGCCAGGGTCCCACCCCCTCTCTGTGGACCAGAACCCTGCTCGCGGGAGATAAACATACAGCTGCTAGGGCTGCAAGGCGGGGCTGGGGTTGCAGGAACAGCCAGCCGCTCCTGGGCACCACCGCGTTCTCCAGGCCCTTTCTGCCAGGATCTGAGGAGGCCTGTTTACATGGGTCCCCCCTGCGGTCTGTGCTGCTTAATATGCCTTTTGAAAATGATGCTCAGTGGGACATGTGCACATTTGTAATTACAAAGTCAGGGCTGGTTTTTCACAATCTGCCTGCTAATTTCTCAAGCGCAGGAAGGGAAATAGCAGAAAGTCCAAAATAGTCGAGTGGGTTCCCTGATAGCACTCTGTAGTGCTTCCTGTTTACAAAGCACTTTTATTCCTCCCTATGAGGAAGGCAGACCAGATACTCTTAGGCCAGAGGGGAAACCGAGACCCACAGAGGAGAAATGACTTGTCCAAGGTTGCATGGCAGGTAGGAAGGGTAGGCAGGGCTGCACCCCAGTTCCTCTGATGGCACATCTGGTGCCCTTTCCTATCAACCTGGGGCACAGAAAGAAGGAGGGATGAGGCAAGAAATTCCCAGAACCAAGGCTGCTTCCCCTACGAGGTGGGCATCCTGCCACGAGAAATGGCTCATCAGGAGCCACTGGGTGAAAACCCACATTCAGGGAAAGCCTTCCCAGTAACTGAGATCCAGCCTGAGGCTTCCAGGAGCAAGCCTCACACGGAATGAGGGCGGGCTAAGATTTCAGCCAACGCTTTGAAACCGAGCCTGCGGTTGAAGTCAGGTCAACACATTCACAGGCGTTTTGGGCCCTATCGACGTCTGGGGTGGGAAACCCACCCGAAAGCTGTTGAAATGCAGGGGCCAGCACTGGTTTTGCAGAACAGTGGCTCTTTGAGTGGAAGGTGTTCGAGAATTAAGTTTCCCCAGTGTTCCCAGGGCTCAGACTTAAAGCCAAGGGGGGTTGGGGCCTCCAGCGCCTGATGGAGCCACTGATAGGTCCCTGCTGGCTAAAAGTGATGACATTGGCAAGAAACTGATCTTTCTGGGGAGCAGAAACTCAAGAGCACTCAAGTGCAGAACACAAGGCAAGTTGTGTTACCTGCCACAAAGCTTCAACTTTCATGCCTAGGGGAGGGGGTGAGAGGGACCATTGGTATTGGGTATCAGGGGTCCCAGACCAGACTCCGGAGGAGGAAACTGCTGGAGTGGGACCTCTTATCTTGTCTCGTACTGTCCTTCTCCACATAGAATTAGGACATGCTCAGGCTAGGGGTGGAGACTGGGTAACCCAGTTGCTCCCTGTTTCATGGACAGGAAAATCGAGACGCTGCAGCATCAGGAGACTTACCTCTGGGCATCAGAGAGTGTCACACATGAGGCTTGCAACCAGTCTCCAGATTCTCAGCCCACTCCTCATGCGGACTGAGAAAAGAGACACAAATCAAAGGTCCAGGCTCTTTGTCACCATGTCGCAGGCCAAGCCACAGCCCACCTACCTCTGGCCTCCTTCACACTCCTCGTGATCCTGCTGAGTGCCGTTCCTTCCTGTAAGCTGATGCTCACACACACGTCTGGCCGAAGCAGGTTTCAGCCACTGGGCGATATTTGTTGAAAAGCGAAGTCAGTTTGTGTGAAGCAGCCCCTGCTTGGCCTGGCTCTCTTAACACCAGTCAGTCATACATTCTCCTGTTAGTCAATGCTTGGTTGAATGGTGAAGACCAAGGATATCCAAATGGAGTGTCACATGTGCTCAGCCCGAGATAACCCTGGGGGACAGCTGCTGACTGGGCTCTAGCATCTGCATCTAAAAGTCAAGTCCAACAAGGCTGGCTATAGATTAAAAAAGTGGCCATCCTGAAGTATGGTGGTCCATGGGTAGATTCTCGAGTTGGCTTAGGGTGGGTATAAAGCTTCTGAAATTGCAGGGAACACCTTACCCATGTTTATGCATGGGCTTTTATCTAGGAACAAGTCCCTATCTTTCATCAAATTTTCAACTCTGAATAATTGGAAGTTTAAGAAGCCATAATGTAGCTATCTAAAGGCATCATCCTAGCTCTGTCTTTATCCTCCTCAGGTGTCTCACAGTGTCCTGGTTCCGTATAACACAGTCTGAGCTGGAGTGTCTCTCCTGACTTCAAAAACTGAAGTGTTGAAAGCCTTGGTCATGGCTGGGTGACCTTGGCTGCTGAAAGTTCTTTGTCATTTTTTTCTAGTAACTGTGTTCTTTCTGTAGGACAGTCACTCTCCTTTGTGCTGGGGATGAGGGGCTGCAGTGGAAATATGAAGGCAGAGGGCTGAAGAAAGGAGGTTTAAACCGTCTGTGGTATTGACACAAAGAAGCCTTTCTTCTTAAGTGCAACCTGAAAAATAATCCCCCATTGGGGAGTGCCATGACACTTCCTGTGTAACATATTCAAACATCCCCCGGCAACTGTGGCCTGTGGGAACCCAATAGGGCCTGAGCCAAAGATGGGCATAGAGGTGGTGAGAGTAGCAATATCTGCCTTCTCTTCAAACTTCTTTCAATTAAGAAAGGACTTAGAATTTAAAAGTAAAATAAGAATTATGATGGAGCCATTGAAGACCAGCTCTAAGAAGAACTTTAGTCTTCTCAGCTGTGAAAATGCAACTTGGATGAGAATGGTCTCAGTGGCCTAGAAAGGACAGGACTTACCCACAGAGGTAGTGCCCAAGCCCTTTGACCCCCTGTCTGAGAATTGAGCCTTGAGAATTGTATCTCCTCATATTCTTGCTGGGATGGTCAGCACTTGGGAATGGTATCCTGGCATCAGTCATGTAAATGAAATAGGAAAACTTCCCATTTTCTTGGGTACCTGTTGTCATTACTTCACCAGTTGGAGAGAACAGTACCCAATGCAGTTCCTTTGAGTGAATGTCCTCCCCAGCGAGCAGGATAAAGGTGTTTTCCTAAAGTACCTGGTTGCAAAAAACCTTAGAGTCACAGAGAATCAACACCTGGGAGTACCTGGAAGACCACCTAGTCAAGTCCTGTCACTTTGTTGCAGGTGTTTCTGAGGCCCAGAGAAGAAAAGAGACTCAAACAGATGAGCTGTGCCCATCAGATTCTCTCGTTCAGAAAGGAAACAAGGAGTAGAGAGGAAAGTTTCCAGCTATGACGGGCACTGGGTTTTGAAGGTCACACAGCCTTGAGAACTTGGGTGGCAGATTTTGTTTGTTTGTTTGCTTTTGTTGGGATGAATAAACTGATGAGTACGTAAGTCTTTAGAGAGCTGGGAGTAGGACAGGTGAGCAGAGATGCCTTTCGTGCCCTGGCTTCCCTGCAGTCCCTTAAACCCTGCTTTAGTGGAATGAACTGAGTTGATTTGTTGAAACATGGAAAAGCCCTGACCAGAACAAGGGGACTCAGGTGTGCACAGGAGCTGGACTGTAGGACCTATGAGAACCCTTTAACCAGAGGTAGTCTGATTTCAGGGGTCTTGGGGTTCAGGGCCTATTGGAGCTAGTGAGCCATGAGCACAGGTAACTCACGCCAGTTTCACTGAAAATGCAGGTGGTCTCTGGGAAAGGGTCTCTGGGCAGCTTGATGCTCATAATATGGTCCTGGGACCAGCAGCATCAGTATCTGGGGGTCGTTGGAGGTGTAGAGCGTCAGCCACAACCAGACCTCCTGAATCAGAATTTGCATTTTCACAAGTTCCCCAGCAATTCCTATGTACATTAGGTTTGAGAAGCAGTGATTTAAGAAATAGCCTTTAAAAAAAAAAAAATAAAGCAAGAACACGACGGAGAAAAGGCTGTGAGCAGAAACATGAGGATCTGGTGGTAATCTCATCTCCAGGACAAACTCGCCGTGCAGCCTTGAGAAAACCACAGCCATGCTCAGAATGGCTGTTCTCTCATCTGAAAATGAGAGGGTTGGACTGGATGATCTTTATGCTCTAGCCTCGCAGGCATCTCTGATATGAGGTAGGAGGGGGGAGCCCCACTCAGCTGAAGATCAGAGAGCTTCTTGCTGTGTAAAACACTCCCTAATCAGCCTATGTCAAGTCCCCCGCCCCCCGACTAACCACAGTGACAAGTCCCAGGAGTGTACCTTGTCAGGCTGTGAATAAAGTTCAGGCAGCTTGGTTAATTACCCTGACATCAACTAGAGTTAGCTACCCAGCAGCTCGGAAACTCATCTTAATGATTAGAGGAATGCACACGCCACAGCTTCAGTCACAGCCACCACCTTTGCAGGCTACAGCTTTGTTTCAGGGTCTCAGATTCAGGCAGAGGATCCCCAAGGGCATCAGGGGTCCAGGTGGGTGTCAGGAGGTTCCCCCTTGCCCATTCCACATGAGGGTAAGGTCATTCTTCAAATGTGTCATTAGTGAAGCTTTGTAACAATCATAACAAAGAACCCGTTTCTTTCTCTCCTACCTCTACACGTAACCTGCTCCAAGTTCTCCACTGCTGTCAGAAAAGGCCATGCGGGATGTACTCCTCCTTATTCTCTAGCCACAAGTCCATTAATTTCTACCTCAAACCCTCTGCCCTGACCTCAGAGGGCTACACTCTGTTCCCTGTGTGAGCCATGATATTTCTTCTATTTGCACACATTGCTTCTGCCCAGAACACTCTTCTCTGCTCTTGACCATAGTCCTTATTCAGTCTTCAAATTTAGTGTCTCTGTCATTTCCCCCAGAAAGATATTGTGTCTATATCATGTCCCCCATGTCCAGGCTGGATGTCTACATTTCTATAGAGTCCTGTGCTACATCAATTGTACTAGACATCACACTGTATTTTGAGAGTTTCTCTACAAAACAGTGAGCTCTGGGTTGTCAGAGACCATGCCTGACTTACTTAAGATCTAAGCTCCGTGAGGACAGGGATTGTTTTCTCTGTCATTGACAGCTGTATTCAGAGTGCCATGTACATTGCCTGGCACATAGAAGATGCTCAATAAGTGTCCTTTAAATGAATGAATGAATGAAGAAATGAATTCCCCATGCTTAACACAGTGTCTGGTGCATGATGAACAGTCAATTTTGTTTCAAGTGAATGAAAGGACAAAGGGAGATTTTTCTGTTTTGGCATAAAGTCTGGACAGTGAAAACTCATTAGGATGGATTGCTTGACAGGCTGAAGCACAAAGGTGTCCACAGCTCAGTTGCCTCTAAAGAGGTCTGTGCTGACACTGGACAGGGAGGTAAGACTTGTTTTGTGACTGTGGGACTGAGGGTGAGAGGTCCAGAGAGGGTACTTCCGTAAGAGGTTTACTTTGAATGAATGACCTTGGGGAAGTGTGAGGCTCTGCTCCCTCAGCCCAGAGCACACACATCCCCTCTCTCCTGCAGGCTGTCTGAAGGCCTAGAGGGCCTGTCCCAGGCCCAACCTTTCATGTGGACCGAGAGGTAGAGGCAAAGAAGGGATTTCTCTAGGCAGGCCCTTTAGATAGGAGAAAACATTCTCAAATCTTAGAGCCAGTGAATGACATTACTGATGTTGGAAGCCACATCTTTACGGGCCTTAAGTGCACGGCTCTTTTTTTTTTAAATGTATTTTTAAAAATTTTTATTTCATTTTTGGCTGCGTTGGGTGTTTGTTGCTGCGCGCGGGCTTTCTCTAGTTGTGGCGAGCGGGGCTACTCTTTGTTGTGGCACGTGGGCTTCTCATTGTGGTGGCTTCTCTTGTTGCAGAGCACGGGCTCTAGGCATGCAGGCTTCAGTAGTTGTGGCACATGGGCTCATTAGTTGTGGCTCATGGGCTCTAGAGCGCAGGCTCAGTAGTGGTGGCGCACGGGCTTAGTTGCTCCACGGCATGTGGTATCTTCCCGGACCAAGGATCAAATCCGTGTCCCCTGCACTGGCAGGCGGATTCTGAACCACTGCGCCACCAGGGAAGTCCCCCAGGGCTCTTTCTAAGCATTATGTTTTAATAAAGATTTGGGACTTTCATTTTTCTATAAAGCAAAGCCCATTTTAAAATACCTATACATGTGGTGGCAGCAGTAGGATAAAAGTCCAATGTCCACAAGCCAAAAGAAGTTTGGGAAAAGAATTGGAGCATTTCTGGAAGACTCTCCTCTTTTGTATGTTGATCCAGGTTGCTTAGCTTTTCCATTGAGGACTGGGGTTGGAGAGGAAAGGTTATATTCTATTTACTTTGTAAAAGGAAATTTCTCTCTCCCTGTTTCCTTCTTCTTCCCTAGTAATCCCTCAACCTAAAAAATTAGCTTCCCAGAGACCTCTATCGGAAGGTTTCTTCTCATGTGACCAGGGGCACAGAGCAAAGGAGACAGGATAGGATAATAATTAAGAATCTAGGTTTAAAAATCAGACACATCTGAGCTTAAACCCAGCCTTGCCATTTATGAGCTCTTTGACCTCTACCAAATGACCTAATGTCTCTGAGTCTCCATTTTCTCATCTATACAGTGGGGATAATACTAATATTAATCATTTGGCAGTTTTATGAGATAGTGAGATCAGTACAAGCAAGTACTTAGTATGAAACCACCAACTCCATCCACAATGCCAAACTTAGAAAGTTCTGAGAACTGAAAGCATTTTTCATAACTCATTTGGCAGTAAAATCTGATCTCACTTGGCAACAAAAATCTGACCTGAACTTAAGTAAAACTATTTGGAGTTGTTATTGTGACTTTTCATGTATTTTGCTGTGGAGATATTGATGCGTTTGATCACAGGGTAATACCTCAGTATACACTGTGAGTGTTAGGTAATGTAAGCTACATGCTGTATGTACCCTAAAATCTATAATGGTTATAGGTTTTAAAATCTATAACCTTTCTAAAATCTATAATGGTTTGATTTCCAAAATGCATATAGCTCTAAAGATTTCATGCAAAGGATTGTGGACCTATAGAGAATCTGGCTGTGTTGACTGCTCAGTACTTGAAAGCCATCATCAGTTCTGCTTCAGGGATTTGCCCAAGGACACACAGAGACTTGTTTGCATATGACACTGTCCTCAGGTATTATTTATTCTATAACCATGACCTTGACCAAAAATATCTCTTTGACTATTCAACTTGAACTTCCTCAAAAGAAATCCATTTCTTTAGATATTTCAAGCTCTTTGGTTCTTGAGAGACCACTTGTAAAGATGAAAATTGAAAATTGGTTGATTGAATGTTGAGAGTGAGAGGTACTCATAAACCAGAGCCAGAGAAGGATGGGGGCAAGACAGGGAATCACAGAGGTGAAAATGTGACCCACTGGGCAACAGCACTAGTTCTGTACCCAGGGCCAGCTCTGGAAATTAAATAGAACTTTGACACATGGGAGGTTTAAAATATATAGAAAGGGTGGAGGAAGCAATACAATTCCCAACATCCTCCCATTTCTTTATCAAAAGAATGTGGGAGAGTTTTATAATAAATGATACAAATCTAATCTAATTAACATAGGGTTAAAATATCAAATGTTATATACATAAAGCAAGGGGTAGGGATAAGTTAAGGGTGATTGATACAGTTGAGTCAGAAATCTAGCTCTGAGCTTCCTGGCAGCCAAGGACGAAAGGAAAACATGATGGTTACCTTTTCTCATAGCATATGTTTTGGGTATCCATTGTTGCATAACAAACTGCCTCAAAACTTAGTGGCCTAAAATAATCATTTTACTTTGCTCAAAATTTTATGGGTTAGGAATTGGGGGAGCATCTCGCTGGGCAGTTCATCTCTGAGATGCACAGCAGCAGGTGGGGTGGCTGGAACTGTAGGATTGACTTCCAAGAATGGCTTCTTTAGTCCCGTGTTGCTGCATCATTGCTCCTTGGCTCTCTCTCCATGCATCTCATCCTGCAGGGCCTCTCCACGGGGTTTGGGCTTCTCACCTCATGAAGGTCTCAGAGTAGTTACACTTTTAACATGGCAACTAGTTTCTCAGAGATAGGAGGAAGAAGCTGCAAGACCAGTTAAGGGCCATGCGCAGAACTGGCATGACATCACTTCTACCAGATTCTCTTAGTCAGAGCAGCCAGAGAACCTGTCCAGATTCAAGGAGTGGACTCCGTGTCCTGACTGAGCTGGCGGAGCAGGTCACATTGCCGAAGAGCATGTGGAGTGGGAGATATTTTTGTGACCATCTTTGGAAAAATAATCTGCCACAGCAGGATAAAAGGAAGCATATGCATCTGTCAGGAGGAATGACATCTTTCTAGGACTGAACTTGTGAGATGAATTATGTGGCATCTCTTCTAGAGAACAGTCATTGCACGTTGACTGAAACAGACAATGTCATGAAGAGCCAGTTGGAAGAAGGTGCAGAAACAGCTCAGGATGTTACATACTTAGCTGAAAACCTGGGTTCCAGAGGCTCTGGCCCCTGAAATTAGTGGCAGTCCTTGGGACAAAATGTTACCTTTCAACTGACTGATGACCATATAATGTACGTGCTGTGAAAACCATGTAGCTGTGTACCTGATTCCTGCCTTCCTGGCCTTCCATTTGCAGGGAAGGCAACTCATATCACAGTACAAAGTGTAGGTGTGGAGCTGATTTTTTCAGATGTGGGCACAGAGAGCTGCCTACATCAGACTCGTGTGAAACATGAGGTGTCTAGACACCTAGACACAGGTGTTTGTTAAAAATCCAGATGCTTGACCCCATTGTTCCCTTGCAGAGACCCAGGGAGCTCTGCTTTGAAATGCTCTCCAGGTGATTCTGAGCGTACTGGTGTTCAGAGCTCCACGTAAATATATGGCAGTCAACGGTAACTGAGGACTTCCTCTCACTCAGGAACTGTTCTGGGTGTCTTACAAATTATATCAGTGAATCTTTGCAACAGCTCAGTGAACTATTTTTCTCCATTTTTTAGTTAAGAAATTGAAGACTCAGAGACAGTCCACAACCTGTCCAAGGTCACACAGTTTCTAAATGGGCGATGCCAGGACTCACCCCAGGGGTCTGGTTCCAAAGTCCTCATCGATGGGTTTTGTGACTCCAGATGACCAACTTAAAAACTTTCTATCCAGTGCCAGGATGCTACCAACTCCCTGGGGCATAAGACTGTCACCTTCTCCTAGGTGTCTGTCCTGGAAATTCCAAGGCAAATTTGGAAAAACTCAACACAATGAGTCTTGTTAACATGCTCTCTTTTGAAGATAGCAGGTAAGAGAAAGGACAGTGGCTACGTATTTTGGTGCTGATATCGCTAGGCGTGTGACCCCAGGCCAGAGGTTCCACTTCACATAGCCACAGTTTGCTGGTCTGTGAAAGGGAAACTGCCTTGGACCACTTCTAGATCTTCTTCCAGCTCAAAATTTGTCCCAAATCCTGGATGATTTGATATGACATCACCATGCCTAGTACTGCTTGTGGATTCACTGATTCAATGATTGTTTCATTCATTCAATTCATCCAACAAATAGCTTCTCTGTGTCTGCTATTGTACTCCATTCTCAGAGAAGTAAATGTTTAAAGTACCCACTTATTAACTTGAAAACTGATTTGACCAATTTCATTTCACTGCACAGCCTCCCAAAGGATTCCCTGAGTTAGCGTGCGCCCCTGCTGCCACCAGTGCGCAGGCCCACAGAACCAACTTGGTTGTTTGAAAGGAAACCCAGAAGTCAGTCACCCAGCACTTTCTAATTCAAATCGGCTGACAGTCAGTGGCTTTCTGCCCTGGGGCAAACCCTCCACCTTCAGTCCTGCTTTGATCCTCTAGCCCAGGCTGCTTTCATTTCACAGTTGGAGTAACAAAGGTTAAAACAGATGACAACTCTTTCTAGAGAGTGGGGTCCTTTGCCCCCGAGACGCACTGTGGTGAGACACAGAGGAGGCTCTTCAGAAGAAGGGCAAGGTGAAGCTGTGGAGACTGAAGAACCGTCTAGTTCTAACACTCTAGCAGCAGATTTCCCCCAACAAAGTGCAGAAGCCCAGTATTTACAATGCAGGGCCTGGGGTCTGGGGCAGGGACGTGCCCTCACTATGGGGCCAGGACCATGAGGCTCCAATTCCGTCACCCTGCAGGTGGGGACACTAAAGGACCAAGAGAGGGGAGCTTGTCCAGAGTCACTGCAAGTTCATGGGCGGGAGGGAAGGTAAGGGGTGAGGGGAAGGGCAGCAAAGGAAAAGCAAAATAAAATCTAGTAAAACAGAATATGGCCCTGTGTTCACAGGGGAGCAGTTCTTTGAAGAGCCCCTGGGACCTAAGAGGCCTGCTTCACCTGGTCTGTTCATTGCCTCTGAGGATCATTCTCCCAGACAAGGGTCTGCCCACTGGGCTACCCTCCCTCGACCACCCCGCTTGGCCGTTGGGGAACAGGGGAGCTGCAGACGTGCTCTTGGGGTCCCTAGGTGGATGGCATTCAGTTTTTATCAGCAGAAGAGGAGGCTGCCCAGCCCAGATGTGAGATCCCTCCCCCTCCTCCCAGCCCAGCCTTGCCCTGTGCCGTGACAGCTTCCTTCCCAGCATCAGGTCTTCTGGGGAGTGCTTAAAGAGTGGCCCAGCTTCCAGACCAAGGCCTGCTGTTCTCGGCCCGGGTACATGTTTTCAGCAGAGAACGCTCAGCAAGGGCGGGCGAGGGTGGGTGAGGGCAGATCTCTCCACTCAGAATTCAGATGTGACTCCC